CACCCCCGAGGGGGGGCCCGGGGGGGGGGGGCCCCCCCCCGGTCCCCAGCCCCGGAGCAACGGGGCTCGGCCCGGCCGAGATCCGACCAGCTCGGACAACGGGGCATCCTCGCCCTCCAGCCCCGCCAGTGGCACCGCGCAGATGAGAAAGGCGTGCGAGGTCGAGCCAGCGTTTTAGCCAATATTTACTCTGAAATCCACAACTGTTTTGCCTTCGTTTTTTGTCATCTGGTAACCATTTGAAATATTAAATGCAGCGTGGTGGTTTTTTGGGGGTTGGTGTTTTTTGTTTTTTTTTTTGTCCAGTTTCAACAAGTTTTGGCGAACGCTTGGGAACTGAGCACTCCTCCAGCCTCCCATCCTAACCAATAAAGCACAACTCCTGCCAACCTCTCGCTAGCGGGGCAGTGTTTGCTGCTCTGACTTGATAAAAGTGTGAGGATGAACGGAAGTTGACTAGAAAATATAATTCTTGAGGGTTTCCTCTAGTTCTTTTTATTTCGGCAGTAATTTTCATCACAGCGGTGAAAATATTGAGGACATCAAATTTTTTTCTGATAGAGTATGGCTGTGATACGCTGATGAAGTTTCATAATTAATATCATCAATTATGTGTGTTAGTATAGTTTTTTATTTACCAGCCCTGGAGTCCCTATAATAATAGTAGCAAAAGCAATAATAATAATAATCTCCTTTGAGGTAACTGATTCCAGATTCTAGTGTGCTTTTCTGTATTGGGGGAAAAAAAGAAAAAAAAAAACAAAAAAAAACCCCAACCTGAGAATTTCACAGATATCTGCAGAAATTCAGACTCGGACACTGCATCAAAGCCCAGACCTGCTCTCGGGGTTATTGCTGCCGCTCAAAGAAAGATGTGCGAAGTTCTGCCTGCGGTAGTGGCAGTGCTCTGCCTTGCAGAGTGCAAAGAGCAAGCTGAAAATTATAGGCAGGGGGAAGTGCCAGGGTGGTACTATACTAATCCTTGCTGAGACAACAACTTGCGTTGGAGGCTTCGCAGAGAGTCCGAAATTTAATTTCGGGAGGGAAGGATCTGTAAACAATATAGTCGAGTTGGTAAAAACCTGCCTTACAATAGCCTGCCAGAAGGTGAATGTCAGATCAAAGGAGAACTGAAAAGATGTCCTTTCATATTTTTTTTTCCCTAAATCAGCCATGGAAACTTCATGACTCCATAAAACATGTGCTGCTTTGCTGAGGAGACAGCCTCCGGTTTCCCCTCGGAGAAAGCTTGTCTTCCCCCCACCCTCGCTGCTTAACTCGTGTGTTTTGTTTCGTTTTTTCTTTTCTTTCCGAATCCATGATGCCCGAGTCATATACCGCCTTACTCATTTCATATCGCACACAAATGGTTTTGCTCTTAACTTTCCACCCCTCTTCCCAAACAGGAACAAAGTCAGGAAATGAGGCACAAGACTCCCCTTGCGATGAGGAAAAGAAAGCGACTTTACAGAAACACCCTGGAAAAGTCAAGTAAGTTAAAATACGTCTTTTTTTTCAGTTCAAAGGAGACGATATTTTTTTCAGCTTAGTGTTTAACGTACTTGCATAAACACAAATCAGCGACACAACTCCCCACCAGCAGCTGCCTAATCCTGCTCAATGCCTATTCATTTGGAGGTTCTAGAATTAATATTTGACGACTCTCTCATTGAAACAACAACCCCTGACCCCATGTGATTGCACTGTCACATTATTCTATGACATATTCATCTTGAATTCATTTACGGACGATTTGATTGGAATGAGGTTTGACATGTATTGGATCCTATTAAAGAAGAAGACTTTGATCTTGTTGATGGGGTTTACATGATATGTATCATCTTTACCAGGGATACCAGGCTTCCACAATGTGGTTTCTAAGTAGTTAGTGACTGACAGCTTATCTGACAGGAATACCTTAATCTTGAGGTACTGAATGAAATATTCTATTTAAAATAAGCATATGATTTGCTTGTCCTAGGGTAGCTCTAGGTCACAAAAAGTGAGAGGCAAACCTAGGCACAAGCCCTTGCCCGTCCGGTAGTTGAGTTCGCGTTACTCGGGAACCCTGAAATAAAGAACACCCCGTAGGTGGGAATGGGGTGAGGAATAGAAACAAAGGCAGAGTGTGCTCCCGAGCCACTCGGTAGCCTCTCCTCTCCTCTCCGAGGAGATGCTGGGATCACTGAAAGGCGTTCTTGACCCACCTCTTCCTAAACAGCAGTGCCTTCTGCCGGGGCAGGCAGGGACTCGGGCTCAGGTCCTGCGCCTGCCCCTGTGTCACTCGCTGCCTCCCTCATCCCTCCCTGCCCAGTGCGAGTTTGGGGGATAAGGAATCGCACAGGGTGACTTCTCGGTCCTCTCTGTTTCTATTCCTCGCTTTTTTCCCTTTATTACAGCAAATATTAGGATTTCCGGATGAAACCGTTTCCCTCCTCTCGTCCGGGAGTTGAAGCCTAAAGGTAACCCCTGGAACCTGCTGTCTGGAGAGTTCAGGGCACCCCGTCCCGTCCCAGCCCCCGGGCACCGGCTGGAAAGTTTCTAGCTGGCTCGTCGGGAAGGGAAGTTTCCGCAGAGGCAGGAGTGGGAGAGCACGGGGGGGGGGGAAGGACAGCTTTTGCTCTCCCCGATGCTTCCCGGGGCAGGAGCTGTTCCTTGCGCTGATCACGACTCTAAGGGTGAGCAGGATTTGGCCCCAAGTCAAAGAGCACAACGCGAGCAGCCCCTGATTTTCTGGGGCGTTGCACCTCACCTTCACAGCAAGCCCTTTCTCCGGCAAAGGTGGAAACGCGGATAAGCGCCTTGCTGCGTAGGTAGATTCCTACCCAAAACAAGGCGAAGGGTGG